TGAAGACCCTACCTTTTTCAGAACTTATGTAAAGACATCATGATATAGATCCTTAGAAAAGGAAGGTTGTTCGGGGTCCAGGTAGGCGTTGAGGGTTTCTGGCTCGGACGTATAAGGGTTTAGGTCAGGATCACTCTTGAAGGGTTTAGGACTTCTGGCCTGACCTTCTTGTGTCGTTGCCAATATTATTGTTGTGATTAGTATTACTATTAATATTGCTAATAACAATTTTAGTTTGAGTATTCAAACTTTTGTTATTATTGTTACTATTATTATTCTTATTATTATTATTAATCATTATTAATGCGATTAGCTATGACGTCAAAGTGGTCTTGTTGACATATTTGGCATGACATTATGCTACCCCGAAGAAAGACGGAACCGTTTTGACTGGCCCAGCACCTTCAGCTGTGAACCAGACATCCAGAAATCACCAAAACACCAAGACTCTAAGCCCTAGAACCTAAACCCTATGCCCTATGCGGCCAAAACCCCAATCGGACCAATCTCGAAAACTCGCTACAGAGAGTCCAATAGAACTGAACCACGGCCTCCGATAAGCCCTAAGCTCCTCTACCCCGAATCCCCCTTACATCCGAAACCCCTAACCCCCAAGCCCAAAAGCCTTTAAACAAATCTAGCCCCTGCTAAAATCCTAAGCCTTGCCTTAAAACCCCTAATAACCTGCCTTTTTCAGAACTTATATATACAGAAATCAGACTCAGGAGCTCCTAAAAAGGTAGGTTAACTTCGGGGCCCCCAGGTAAACTCAGAAGCTCCACTCGGCCGAACCCCACATTTCTCAGATCATGGTGGCTGTGGGCGTGGTCCTGCTGGTTGCGGGTCTCATCACCTGCACCGTCGGCCTTTGCTGCTGCTGTTGCTGCGCCCCCAAGGAGTGAGCTTAGAGCAGAAGTTCTGTGCCTTTTGACCAAGAAGTGTAGGGACTTCTCGGGGCACACCTGGGTGAAGAGGCCTGGGACAGCTAGGGGGGAGACTTTCCGATTCTGTGAATTCCATGCCTTTCCAGGTAGAGCTGATTCCGGGAAAGAAGGCTCCCTAGATGTAGCAGCTAATGCTGCATACTCGGTTTGCAGCACTACGAATCACTTGTTGCACAACGCTTCATCTTCTTGACACCTGGATTGCCTGTCAAGGGCTGGGCATGTCCGGGTACGAGCACTTTCGATGCCAGGCCAGTCAGGGCAGAAGCCACAGTAAGCGACACAGAGGAGCTCTTGGGTTTTGCCTTTGGCAGAGAGTGCTCTAGAATTCGCATCCTGAGACTCGTCAGTAAAGCGCGAGGATCAGACCCGTTGCAGGTGGGGTGGTACCGACTGTGTTGCCGTGGAGGGTTTAGCGTATTTTCAATCTAGTTTGTTTTCCTGTGCCTTCTCACTCGTGATGCAAGATTTCAAGGTTCTCATGATTGCGATGACAATGAAGCTCCGAGCGAATGGCTTGGAAAAAGGAGAAGTGCCTTGAGCCCTTAACCCGAAACTCTCAATCGCATGCGGTACGCGGTGGTCAACATCCTCGCACGTTCCAGTTGACTGCTACTGCTACTGCTACTGCTACTGCTACTGCTACTGCTACTGCTACTGCTACTGCTACTCCTACTACTCCTACTGCTACTGCTGCTACTGCTACTGCTAGTGCTACTGCTAGTGCTAGTGCTAGTGCTAGTGCTAGTGCTAGTGCTAGTGCTAGTGCTAGTGCTAGTGCTAGCGCTAGGGCTAGCGCTAGGGCTAGTGCTACTGCTACTGCTACTGCTACTGCTACTGCTACTGCTACTGCTACTGCTACTGCTGCTGCTACTGCTACTGCTGCGGCTACTGCTACTGCTACTGCTACTGCTACTGCTACTGCTACTGCTACTGCTACTGCTACTGCTACTGCTACCACCACTTTTGCTACTCTTGCTACTACTATTACATACTACATACAACTTACTACTTCCTACTTACTACTTCTGCTTGCTACTTGTCACCACCACCACCACCACTACTACAACTATTGCCACTACTACTTTTACTACGACTACTGTTACGACAACTATTCCTACTGCTTCTGCTACTGCTGATAGTACTACAAAGAACATTAAGACTAGTACGAATGCAAGTAAGAATACTACTGATAATCAAACGGCTAATACTACAAAATAAGACAGATAATGGCACTGATAGTACCCTAAACCGTAAACCCTAAACCCAAAGTACGCAGAGCCGTCTTAAAACCCGGAATAGTGATGGTAAGCCAGCCCCTCGAAGCAGCCTTCCGGGCTATCGAAGTCTTGTTTGTGCACATACCTTTCATGTTTAGAGGGCTTAGGATTTTCGGGTTTAGGGTATTGAGTTTAGGGTTTAGGGTTTAGGGCTTGGGGTTTAGGGTTTAGGGTTTGGGGTTTAGGGCTTAGGGTTTAGGGTTTAGGGTTTTAGGTTCCAACATCTTCAAAAAAAGCCCTTTCTACCCACGATGCATCAATATCCTGAGCTTGCCTGAAGTGCGTTGACAAGGGGCCAGTGTGGAAGGGAGGGAAGCAGGAAGACTAATATGGCAAGGTGCGGTAGCACTGTGTCATCAGGACTCGAGCTGAATCTGAGGATTCTTAAAATCAGGGATCCTTTTTGGGGAGTTTCAGAAATTAGGTTCTACAAAGAATAGTTGCAAGGGCTGTTGGATCATGCCCGTCTGCCGAGGGAAGGCTTTAGGTTCTTTTCGATGCTCGAACATTTAGTATTGCTGTTGCGGTTCCTTAGTATATCCCAAATTCCCTAAACCCTAAAGCCTAAACCCTAAACCCTAAATATCCCATATCCCCATTCTAGCGATTGAGGCCCCTTATCTTGCTGTCAGTGCGGGATCCTTCAGACTCTGCGCAGATACTTTTGATCGCAGCCGCTTACAGAGCCAAGCCGAGGATAAGGGTTTGAGGTCTTCGGCTGCATAGAACGAGCCATGGCGTGCTGTGGCAAGACATGCTCCAAGGTTTCTATTTGCGTTGGCATTCTGCTGGTGATCGGAGGCCACGACGGTGAAGTTCAGGATGGTAGGATTGCGAAGCAGCATGATACATGCGTATCAACAAGCTCAGAAAGACGGTAATCACTGATATCTCGTGTTGTTCGAAGCATTGACGATGAGATAGCGTTGACGATAAGATGGTGACAATACACCAGCAAGCTACAGCAGTGTAGCAATAGTGTCGGTGGGGCTTGTTAAGCAGCATTGCTGCGATATTTGTATATGGTTTTGGAGGTACATATCAAAGCATCCGCTGTTGCTAGCAGTATCTGTATTCGTACATGCAGATGCATTGTCACGCTCAACCGCAGAGAGATTCATACTGATTGGACCAGTACGGTACGAGGTGAAGGCAGTTACACTCTGTTGGCAAGAAGGGTGACCTTGATGAGTCTTTGAAGTATGTAGAGTTGCAGTATTGACAATCGTACAAGCCAGTTTTGAGTCGGATCGCATGCTGGAGCATCGACCAACATGCTATCGGTAACGGAAGCAATTACTGGTATGGGGGACATCAATGACAGTAGCCGACGCCGTAAGGTGGGATTACAGTAGACATCTTCACAGTGGAAGTGTTCGGACAAATCCAGCGAGCATCACTAGCAGCATTGTTACCAGTAGCCATAACCACAAGCGGAACAGAAGCTTGACCATAGCAAGGAATACGTACATGTGCATGGAAGCATACGCATGCATGTTCATGTACAGGTACATACACCTGCATATACACGTGCACATGCATACACATGCACACACATGCACATGCGCACGTACACATACGAACATTACTTACATACACACATACATACATACATACATACATACATACAGACATACAGACATACAGACATACAGACATACAGACATACAGACGTACAGACGTACAGACATACAGACATACAGACATACAGACATACAGACATACAGACATACGTACGTACATACATACATACATGCATACATGCATACAAACGTACATGCATATACAAATATGTACACGTATAGCTGCATATATGTATATGTACATGTATGTATGTATGTATGTATGTATGTATGTATATATATATATATAACCCGTATACGGCACACCTGCAGACAGACAGTCAGGCAAGCAAGCAGGCAGGCAGCCAGACAGACAGACAGACAGACAGACAGCCACATTACACATACAGACAAAGACGGGGAGAAAGGGAGGGAGAAAGGATAGTACCTTCCAAAATTCTGCTCGTGATGCCGGTGAGGCGGGTGTTGCTTGCAACACTAGTGCTATTTCGATGACGACATGTACTGCTGCCCTTGGAAGATGCTGCTGCTGAGGAGGAAGAAGAAGATGATGATGGTCATGCACACTGCACTGAACCCCAAACCTGAACCCCTAACTCTGACCCTAAACCCCTAGCACCTAGAAGACCTTTAAGTTCGCATGCCCCCTTCCATTCTGCAAGCTTTATGGGTTTGGTATGTGCAGGGATTGCCTTAGCCCTGGCGGGCGCGCTGTCCATCGCCAACATCAGCATCAATGCCTCTTCGATCTCAAAGAGGGCGTCGAGGATTTGTTGTGGGCCTCTACACCCTGAACCCTTAACCCTAAACTGCTACCGTAGCCTTTTTGGCTCAAGCTGTTCTGCTCGAGTGTTGTCCCCCAACCTATCCTCCTCATGCTGCGAAGATGTGGCTCGTCTGGTTCTTGGGGCTCCACCTAGATTAAGACCAGGAACGCGACCAGACCCATGGCCGCATTGCGGTAGAAGAGCACCAGTGCAAGGGTTGCAGTCCCTTCTTGCAGACGATTTGGAGTGCAATCTGAGCTTGAACTGAATGCAGTTTCGAGTCATCAGTGCAAGGGTTGCAGTCCCTTCTTGCAGACGATTTGGAGTGTAATCTGAGTTTGAATTGAATAAAGTTTCGAGTGATCAGTGCAAGGGTTGCAGTCCCTCCTTGCAGACGATGTGGAGCAAAATCTGAGCTGGAATGGAATGCAGTTTCGAGTCATCAGTGCAAGGGTTGCAGTCTTTCCTTGCAGACGATGTGGAGCGCAATTTGAGCTGGAATTGAATGCAGTTTCGAGTCATCATTTCAGGGGTTGCAGTCCCTCCTTGCAGACGATGTGGAGCGCAATTTGAGCTGGAATTGAATGCAGTTTTGAGTTATCAGTGCAAGGTTTGCAGTAAAGCGTTGCAGACGATGCGAAGCGCAGCCTGAGCTGGAATTGAATACAGTTTCGATTCATCAGTGCAAGGGTTGCAGTCTTTACTTGCAGACGATGTGGAGCGCAATTTGAGCTGGAATTGAATGCAGTTTTGAGTCATCAGTGTCCCTCCTTTACGGACGATGTGGAGTGCAGGCTGAGCTGGAATTGATTGCAGCGTTGAGTCGTTCTGACGGTCCAGACCTGAGAAGTTCGTGCTGAGTAGATTGTCACTTACTGATTCCCGAAAGCTTTGGAACGTTGGATACTGCCGTCTGGAAAGGGTAAGCTGATGCTAACTTGTGGCCCCGGAAATTGCTGCCTTCTGGGAGGGGGGTTGAGCCGATATCGTGCGACCTCGCGGCCCCAGGTAAACCAAGTGCTCGATAGATATGTGTCCGATGTGACTCCGGCTGTGTTTTGTGAAGCTTGTCTCAGCATTTTTTCCCGTGGGCAAAGCGGGCATGTGCTGATTTAGTGTATGCCGTATATTGGGTGGGCGCGCTTTGGAGAAATGGGCGTCATTGCGTTGAAAAAAAAACTTTTATGGTGGTTTCTATAGGGTTGACTTGAGCTTTTGGAAGAAGGTCTTGCGGGTTTTTCAAGGCTTTAAGGGGTTTAGGGTTTAGGTGCTGAGCCTCAGGGTGTAGGTTGAGACCCGGGCTTTCAGGATTGAGACAGTTAGGCATTGTAGGTGTTCGGGGGGGCCCGAATTAAAAAAAACATGCTCAACAGCGAAAAGAGATTTTCCTGAGGGGTTCTTTTGGGCGTTGCATTTTGGGAATATCTGGCTCTATGAACGGCTGAGGTCTCCAGATGTCACTTTTTCCTAGTCAGGCTTTAGTGAATGTTGCCTTGATTTCACCTTAAACCCTAAAACTTAAACCCGAAAGCCTAAACCTTAAACCCCAAGCCTTTAGACTTCGCTGTTGTATGTGTCTAGTGCTGAGTCTGGCGACCTGGGCTTTCCGGAAGTGGATGTGTTTTAGGGTTCAGGTTTAGTTGTTGATGTGTTGAACGTAGGAATATCGGGGCCTTAATATTTAATTAGAAAGGGTTCCTTTAAAGGGATGCTTAAAGAGTTGGAACCCCAACAAATAGTATAGGTAACTGTTAAGGCCTGCATATACGAGTTGTTCGTGGCTGAGACTTCGGTTCTCTTGTGCTGAGAATCTTATCGCCGTTATCGATGATATACGTACGACTACTGTTACAGTTCCATGCTTGTAGGTCCTGTAGGTTGCTCAATACCATCGCACTTGGGCGGCCTGAAATGCTAAATCACAGGCAACATGCTGAGCAGGTACTCCGGAACGTTGGCGAACTTCCTGCACACTTGCGTGTCCTTGTACCTTTTGAGTTTATGTTTTTCAGGTCCCACATCCTGCTCAAATCACTGAGCCCAATCCCTGAACCCTCAACCTTAATTTCCACGCCCCACGCCGGATGTTGGAGGGCCCCAAACAAGCCCGCAAGGTCAGCGCTACCATCGACGGAGACATGACGGGGGTGCTTGCAGCGCCCTCCGATCTCGCCTGTCCCTACGTCATCTTTATCGAGACGCTCTGGCTGGGGCAAGCCTTGAACCCCAAACCCTAAGGATAAGCACAGCTTTCCTGCCCCTTATATGCTTGACTCCGAACCAACCAACATGATGTACAGTCGTGCAAGACATCAGCCCGAAACCCTAAACCCTGAAGCCCACAACTCTCAACCGGAATCTCTTTTCCCCTAGGCTCCAAACTCGAGACTCTCGGTCTTCAGCGGTTTAGGGTTTAGGGTTGGGGTTTTTATTAGGCTTTAGGGTTTAAAACATAGTAAGACAACCCTATCATTCACTAAGATCCCTCCTATTTGTTTTGGCAGTTCGATGGCAAGAAGCAAGGTTTGGGTTGTAGGGAACCCGCAACAGCCTGAGCAGGCGGATTTTCAAGCCCTGCGCTCGAGATCACGTGATGTCTGCTCTTGCCATCAGTCAGACCTCAAATGTTAGACCAAAATCCGAACCAAAAAAACCTTTAAAACCTAAACCCGCTAAAAACACCGAAACCCCTAACCCCCTAAATCCCTAAACCCCAAGCCCTAAACCCTAAACCCCAAACCCTAAACCCCTGCAACCCCTAGACCCCTAAACCCCTAAACCCCTAACCCCTAAACTCCCTAAACCCTAAACCCCAACCCCTAAACCCCAAACCCACAGGCTGCTCCGAACTCGGGATTTCATCGGCATCTGCAGTTGGAAAAGGCCCCGCAGAAAACAAAAACCGCCGAAACCCAACCCCCGAAATCGGTTTAGAGTTTAGGGCTTTTTGCCAAGGAAGACTGCAGATTGTACTCTCTTCGACAGCTCGGCCGTGGTGTCCACAGGATAAGCAGGGAGCAGAGAGCTTTTCTGGGTGTTGTGTTTAGGGTTTGAGGTGCGTAGGTTTGCGGGTTTTGGGTTGGGGTTTTAGGCTTACGTAGGGCACAGGACTGCTTTAGGGTTTAGGGTTTGGGATTTCTGTGCTTTTCTTTACGAAGTTCAGCAAGGTCTTTCAAACCGAGAGTTGTTCTAGAGCTTTCAGAAAGCTATGTTTTAAAGGTATCCAAGAGTGCGTGAGAGGTGTTACAATACTGAGTCAAAGGATTTGTTTCGGGACTGTTCAGGCTCTAATGCTGAACCTTGAACCCTAAGTCTTATAAAACTCTAAAACCTTAAACCCTAAACCCTAAACACTTTAGGGTTGTCGGCTTTATGGTTGAAGGGTCTTGAAAGGATGTTGTGTGGGCGTTTCACACAAAAAAAATAACAGGCATCCCGGCCTCCTTATTATAACAACCGTGAAGGGAGGATAAAACTCCTTTACCATTTCTTCTAACACATTTTTAACATTTTTGAACCGATTTTCAAATCTTTTCACCCTAATTTGGCAGGCCTTCTGGGGACTAGGAAGGAGGGCTGGGATCGGAGGTGAAGAGCGATAGGTGCTTAGAGTCTCCAACGCCCCTCAAGTAAGGAACAGACTTCAAGCTTAGATCATTTAGGGTTTAGGGTTTTGGAGGTTTAGGGTTTAGGGTTTTGGATTTAGGGTTTAGGGCTTACATCATCCGGAGGGTCCCTGTCTAATTCTTGGTGTGGTTGCTTAGTCAAGGGGTCTTGAGCCTGTGCGTGTGGGTCTGGCTCGCGGTCTCCGCCAGCTTGGGGTCCAACCACAGTATCTTCGGCCGAAGATGTGACATGATTGCTATGGCCTGTAATATCCTGAAATTGCGTTGGCCACAAGATGCCTCGACACCCCCCCACCCCCCCATGAGTGTGAAGCCCCGACATGCCCCAACGAACCCTAGCCCCGGAAACTTGAACCTGTTAAAACAGAACCTTGAACCCGGAACCGCAACGTTTGCCCCAACAGCAAAGATCTCCCCCATCAAGGGACACCCTCATGCGAGAACAGCAAAGCACAAACACACCCGCAACAGCAGCACAAAAAGCCGGCCGCAACACCAAACAGGCACACTGCGCCGCAACAGCAAAACAGTCAAAACATCAAGCTTTACTCCCCACACCCTAAACCCTATAAGCCCTGAAGCCCTAAACCCTAAATCCCTTACAGAAGCCCTTAACACAACCCTGTTGATAACCCGTAAGCTGCTGCATGCTGTGATGAAAACCCTAAACCCTAAACCTTAAACCCTAAACCTTAAACCCTAAACCCTAAACCCTAAACCCTAAACCCCAAAAAGCTTGCAGGAGCGACGCTGAACACCGACCTTTGCGGCAGCGAGGAGCTGCCAGATGACGGCCCTGAGCGTGCACCCGCCCGGCGCGGCATCCAGGCCGTCGGTCGTGACTCCCAGTACCTTTAGGGTATGTTGTAGTATAAAGGAGTATATAGCAGTATACAAAAGTATACAGTAGTATCTGGTATATTGTAGTATATTATAGTACAATATGTTATAGTGCAATATGGTAAATTGTAGTATATGATAGTATAGCCATACAACGCCCAGCCAAAAAAGGGGCGTCCTCAACCCCTGCCCGAAACGCTGGAATGATGGTCCCAGCCTCCAAAACCAAGAACCTGCACCCTGGGTTTAGGGTTGAGAGTTTAGGGGTTCTAGGGGGTTAGGGTTTGAGGTTTAGGGTTGAGGGTTTAGGGTTTGTTTTCAGGTTTATTTAGGGGTTTAGGGGTTTAGGGTTTAGGGTTTTAGGGTTTAGGGCCAGTTTAGGGTTTAGGGTTACCCTGAAACCTGAAACCCCCAAAGCCTAAGCCGGGAGCCCTACTAAACCTTCAAACCCCCAGACCCTAAAGCCCCGACCTTCTAAGCCGAAACCCTCACAACCCTAAGACAAAAACGGCTTGCACCATCCCGGCAGTGGACTATAATAGTTTTTTAATTTTCTAACCCCTGATAGCAGTTCCGATATTTCCTCTCCCACTCTCTTACGCAGGACCTCGATTGGACAATCGGAGCCTCCGAGACCAAAATCATTGCGCCTTTGCTGCCCTGGTCTCCAGTGGATTTTAGTTTGGAGCCCTGAGCCCTAAACCCTAAGCCCCGAATCCCCAAAATCCACAACCCCTGCAGCCCTAAAATCCCGAAGCCTTATTTCAGGGCTTCTCGACAGTTTAGGGTTCAGGGTTAATGGTTTAGGGTTTAGGGCTCAGGGTTTAGGGCTATAGAGGTTATTTCGACTTGGGGTTTCTTGGCAGGATTGGGGTTTAGGGTTTCTACAGGGTTCAAATTTTAGGGTTTATTGGTGTTTAAGGTTTCATGGGTGGCTGTAGCTAAATGTAGGGTTACATGCAACCGAACTGGGGCACATGACAATAGTGCCACTACCGCGATGCTTGATGTGTTGTTGCTATTCGGCTCTCACTCCTACTACTGCTACCCTCTCTCTCTTGGAACAGGATTACTCTTAAGGTTGCTGCTACTGTCATTAATATTGCTATTGCCAGCGATGCTGCTGCTGCTTCTACCACCACCGCCGCCACCACCTCCATGACCGCCGCCATCTGCACCACCACCTCGCGAGGACCTGAAGCTTGCAGCTGAGCTGAGCTTCACGGAAGACACGGATGTCACCTTGACGAGCTCGGAGGACTGAGTCTAAACCCTAAACCCTAAACCCGTAACCCTAAACCCTAAACCCAACCCTAAACCCTAAACTCGAAACCTGAAACCCTTGCAGCCCTAAACCCTAACTTCTACCTCGGCGAGGCCCAGAGCCCACGCTCATCCCTGAAACCCTAGGCAAGGGCTGAACACTCTATATCTATAGTTATATATCTGTAGAGCTACATATGTAAAAGTCTCTCTCTGTCTCTCTCTCTCTCTCTCTCTCTCTCTATATATATATATATACCTGTAGATTTATACCTACACCGATAAATCTTTAACCACGCGTCAGAGCCTAAGTCCAAAACCGGTAAGCAACAGCCAGGCCAGAACTTTATATATATATATATATACATGCATATATACTCTATATGTATACTATATACTCTATATACTGTATATATACTATATATACTATACTGGAGGTCATTTTTTGCAGGAAGCCCTGGGCTGTCTGAGGGCTCGGGGTCCCGGGAATTCGCGGGCTCCGGGTGTAGGGGTTTCGAGGTGCAGGGTTTTAGGTCTAGGGTTTTGAGTTCAGGGTTTAGGTTTTGCTTCGGGCTTATTCTATCTAAGCATTTAGCCAGGAACGTTAGACCCTCAACACCAAGCCTTCAAAGAATCAACCTTGCGGCTCGAGGGAGCCGCGAGCGAAATTAGTGCTTGGGCCTTAGGGCTTCGCATGTCGGGGCTGCGTTCGTGATTCAGTTGGTTTCAACCCTCAACCTTTCCCTGCCTATACCCTAAACCCTGACCCTAAACCCTCCCTAAACCCTAAACCCTAAAGCCTAAAAAAGGTGCTTTAAGAAAACCCTCCTTCAAACTTCAAGAAGAAGAAGTTGTAGGGCCGTGCATCCCAGAGCCCCACAACCCAAGCCATTACTGGGGGCTTGCTTGGAGGGCCCTGCGACTGTAGCTTTATAGGAAGGGGTTACAATAGCTGCTGTCTATACCGATAATCTGTATCTGTATCAACATCAATATCAATATCTATATCCATATCCGGATCTATATCCGCATTTATATATCTATATGTCTGTATATCTACATATCTATATATCCATGTATCTGTGTGCTTATATGTCGTTATACCTATACGTGTATATAGCCGTATATCTATATGTCTATATCCACATATCTATGTATTGTCGTGCCTTTAACCTATATGTCTATATACCCCCCCGCATATCCATATATCTGTGTATCTATATATACATATCTCTATATACCTACAAACTTATATATCTATATATCTATATCTGTATATCCATATACCTATACACCTATATACCTATATATCTTTATGCCTATATATCTATATGTCGATATAACTATACTTATCTCTATATCTATACGTACATTACCTGCTTTTGTACGTATACCTACATCTGTGTCTATAGCTATCTCTATCTCTTGGCATGCATATAAACATATGTATATATGTCTACATATAATATGTTCATATAGATATGTACATGTATGTGTAGGCATATGCCACCGCACTATAGTTAAGTGAACAAGCTGACAAATCTTGAGTTTTTGCGTTGTTGTTTAATTGGCAACCAGCTTGCCAGTGTTTCAACCCACGTAAGTCAATATGTAAATACATGGATGGGCCAATCATGTAATCAGATACCCAAGTCTGATCAGCAAAGAGTATGTATATATATATATACACACATACACAGATACATACATGTATTTATACATATACATATACATATACATATACATATGTATATTTATATATGTGTGCATGTACATACATAATATGTAGACATGAAAACTAAATCTGAACATTTATGTGTATATATATAAATATAGATAAATATATAAATATAAATAAATAAATATATGTATATATATATATATTTACATGTACATACACACAAATGTTTATACAGGTATTTGCTTATCTATCTATCTAGCTATCTATCTATCTATCTATCTATCTATCTATCTATGTATCTATCTATCTATCTGTCTATCTATCTGTCTATCTATCCATCTATCTATCATTCTGTCTGTCTATCTGTCTAGCTATCTATCTATCTATCCATCTATCTATCTATCATTCTGTCTGTCTATCTAGTTATCTACCCATCTATCCGTCCATCCCTCCCTCCCTCCCTCCCTCCATCCATCCATCCATTTATCCACACACGTGTATATATGCATATACACACATGTATATGTGTGTATACATAATATATATATATACATATGTAAATACATACAAACATGTAGGTGCACATATGTGTAGAAAGATATACGTAGATGTATATACAAACTGTACACATGTTTTTCTGGATGTAGTGTGTGTATACATGGGCTCTCTGAGGATCCCCTTTGCCCGGTCTTTAAACCTTGAGCCTGTCGGCTTTAAGCCGTAAGAAACCCGAAAAGCCCTGATGGGTTTAGGGTTTGGGGTTTAGGGTTCACGGTTTAGGATTTGGGGTTTAGGGTTCAGAATTTAGGGTTTGGGGGTTGGGCCTTTATGAGATCCAAACAGGGTTCAAAGCCCTGTAAAGCCCTAAACCGTGCAGTGCAGGCAATGTGGTCGATGCAGCTCTGCGATGTTTTCCTCGAGGTCTTTGAAATCGCAGGGCGAGCCATTGCCGCTGGGCCTACTTAGTAAAAGACAGACGTTTATGTGTGCAGTAGTACGGCCTTCTGCCTCATTAGTATTGGTACGCACTCATAGTGCCTCTTGGATTTGTACCTATAAACGATCTCAAGGCCTATTTTACTTGTTCAAGCCAATATATTGTAGCAGTATCAGATCCCTATATAGTATAAACCCTAAACCCCGCAGCATCAGATCCGACCGTCTTTCAAGCTTCTTCGAGTCGTGCTGCGCTCGGGTTCTAGGGTTTAGGGTTTAGTGTTTCGGGCTTAGGGTTTAGTCTTTAGGGTTTTCTTTTTTTAGGATTTATTTAGGGTTTAGGGTTTCTAAAATAAACGTCTTAGACCCTGAATCCCTGGATTTTCGACCCCTATCTACGCCTAGAATCGTCACCCCCGTCCCAAAACACCGTGCGATACCTATATCTTGACATCATATCGAGATTTTTGGCCTGAAGCGTTTTGCGTCGTAGCCGTGGCATGCTGAACTCCAGGCCCAAATCCCACCTAACCCCTCAACTCCAACCTCAAAGCTGCAAACGCAGATCATGGTGGCCGTGGGGGTGGTCCTGCTGGTTGCGGGTCTCATCACCTGCACCGTCGGCCTTTGCTGCTGCTGTTGCTGCGCCCCCAAAGAGTGAGCGCAGGGAGCTGAGGCTTAGTCTGCAGGGTTCGGGCTTCTGGCCATCCAAAATCCCCTAAGCCTGGGAACCTTTGGGGGAGTGGACTTTCCGAATCTATGGGCCAAGCACATAGCGCCCCATTTGGGGGCTCACTGGCCTCTTCATGTTCGAATCGCAGCGAGTCACGGAAAGGAGACTCCCCAGATGTAGCATAGTCTTGTTACAGCACTACGAGGCACCACTTGCACAACGTTCCAAATTTGGATTGCACATATACCGGCCGGGCAGGGCGGAGGCTACGTGTACAGCAGTGCCACACCGAGAGGTTGTGGTACTTCTGCCCGGCCTTCTTTTGGGAACTCTTCTGAGACTCGTCAGTAAAGCACGAGGATCAGCCCCGTGCTGGGCCAGCCCGTAAAGCTTCGAGGAAGTTGGTTCGTGGCTAGCTCCGCCTTTGCAGCATCA